CAGTCCCATTCAGTTTCTTTTAACATAGCGTCAAGACAATTGCTGCTTCTTTCCACTGTAGATCATGTTTTTAGGTCTCTGAGGTAGTGCAAAGAGCAGAGATTTTATTTCCACACAAGTCCCAGTATGTATAGATAGAATCCTGGGCTCGAGAAATGAACTTAAGCCATGCGTAATCTGTCACAACATTTTGCCAAAGATTTGCAAAATAAAAGAGGAATCCCAAAGTACCTCAACCTAATAAAGGCCATATATGACAAACCTTCAGCCAATATTTTCCTTAATGGTGGAAAACAAAGCCTTTTCTGTAGGAAAGAAGACAAGGATACCCCCTCTCATCTTATTCAGCATAGTTCTGGAAGTCTTAGCTAGAGGAATCGGGCAACAGAAAGAAATAAAAGCCATCAAAATTGGAAATGAAGAAGTAAAAGTATGATTTTTTCCAGAGACATGATTTTGTATATAGAAAATCCTAAAGATTCCACCAAAACACTATCAGAAACAATAAACAATTGTTGCAGTGAAGTTGCAGGGTACAAAAGCAATGTACAGAAATCCACTGCTTTCCTATATACTAACAACGAAACTTGAGGAAAGAGAAATGAAAAACAAAAACAAAATAGTTCCTTTTTATTTGGAACCAAAGGGATAAAATACCTAGGAATAAACTTAACAAAGGATGTGAAGGACCTATATACTGAAAACTATAAAGCATTATTAAATGAGATTGACCAAAACACAACCAAATGGAAGGTTATTCTATGTTTATGGATTGACAGAATCAACATAGTTAAAATGGCCGTATTGCCCAAAGCAATGTACAGATTTAATGTAATCCCCATTAAAATTCCCATATCATTAAAAAAAAAGGGAACAATTATCAGAGTTGTATAGAACCACAGAAGACCCCAAATAGTCAAATAATCCTGAGAAAAAGGGATGAAGGTGAAGGTATCACACTACCTGACTTCAAAATATATTACAGAGTTAGATAATCAAAAACAGACGCAGACCATTGGAAGAGAATTGAGAGCCCACATATAAAACCACATGCATATGGACAAATACTTTTTGACAAAAGAGCAAAAAACACACGATGGACAGAAGAAGGCTTCTTCAATAAATGGTGCTGGGAAAATTGGAAAACCACATGCAAGAGAATGAAACTAGACTGCATTTTATCCCCCTATGCAAAAATTAATTTAAAATGGATTGAAGACCTAAATAGAAGATCTAAAACAATAAATTACATTGAAGAAACATAGGTACTAAACTTATGGACCTTGGTCATAGAGAATATTTTATGAATTTGGCCCCAAAAGCAAGGGTAGTAAAGGCAAAAATAAATGAATGGGTCTGTATCAAACTATAAAACTTCTTCACAGCAAAAGAAACTGCCAAGAAAACAAAAACGCAACCAACTGAATGGGAGATACTTGCAAACCACAGCTCCAACAAGGGATTAATATCCAAAATATATAAGGAATTCATACAGTTCAACACCAAACAATCCAATTAAAAAATGGCAGAGGAACTGAACAGACACTTTTCCCAAGAAGACATAAAAACGGCCAACAGATACATGAAAAGATGTTCAACTTCACTAGCTATTAGGGACATGCAAATCAAACCTACAATGAGATATGACCTCACACGTGTTAGGATGGTTATTATCAATAAGACAGGTAAAATAAGTGTTGGAGAGGTTGTGGAGAAAAAGGAACCTTCATTCACTTCTGGTGGGAATGTAAACTGGTATAGCCACTATGGAAGAACAGTATGATGGTTCCTCAAAAGATTAAGAAGAGAGTTACTGCTCTGGCTGGTGTGGCTCAGTTGGTTGGCGTGTAGTCCCTTACACTGAAAGTTTGCGAGTTTGATTCCTGGTCAGGGCACACACCTAGGTTGCTGGTTTGATCTCCGTTCAGGGTGTGAACGAGAGCCAACCTTTCTGTTACTCCCTTACATTGATCTCCCTCCCTCCCTCTCTCTCTTTCTCTTTCTCTTTGCTCTTTCTCCCTCTCCCTCTCCCTCTTTCTCTCTCTCTCTTCCTCTTCCTCTTTCTCTTTCTCTTTTTCTCTTTCCCTCCCTCCCTCTTTCTCTTTCTCTTTCTCTTTCTCTTTCTCTTTCTCTTTCTCTTTCTCTTTCTCTTTCTCTTTCTCTTTCTCTTTCTCTTTCTCTTTCTCTTTCTCTTTCTCTTTCTCTTTCTCTTTCTCTTTCTCTTTCTCTTTCTCTTTCTCTTTCTCTTTCTCTTTCTCTTTCTCTTTCTCTTTCTCTTTCTCTTTCTCTTTCTCTTTCTCTTTCTCTTTCTCTTTCTCTTTCTCTTTCTCTTTCTCTTTCTCTTTCTCTTTCTCTTTCTCTTTCTCTTTCTCTTTCTCTTTCTCTTTCTCTTTCTCTTTCTCTTTCTCTTTCTCTTTCTCTTTCTCTTTCTCTTTCTCTTTCTCTTTCTCTTTCTCTTTCTCTTTCTCTTTCTCTTTCTCTTTCTCTTTCTCTTTCTCTTTCTCTTTCTCTTTCTCTTTCTCTTTCTCTTTCTCTTTCTCTTTCTCTTTCTCTTTCTCTTTCTCTTTCTCTTTCTCTTTCTCTTTCTCTTTCTCTTTCTCTTTCTCTTTCTCTTTCTCTTTCTCTTTCTCTTTCTCTTTCTCTTTCTCTTTCTCTTTCTCTTTCTCTTTCTCTTTCTCTTTCTCTTTCTCTTTCTCTTTCTCTTTCTCTTTCTCTTTCTCTTTCTCTTTCTCTTTCTCTTTCTCTTTCTCTTTCTCTTTCTCTTTCTCTTTCTCTTTCTCTTTCTCTTTCTCTTTCTCTTTCTCTTTCTCTTTCTCTTTCTCTTTCTCTTTCTCTTTCTCTTTCTCTTTCTCTTTCTCTTTCTCTTTCTCTTTCTCTTTCTCTTTCTCTTTCTCTTTCTCTTTCTCTTTCTCTTTCTCTTTCTCTTTCTCTTTCTCTTTCTCTCTTCCTCTTCCTCTTCCTCTTCCTCTTCCTCTTTCTCTTCACCTTCTGCTCTCTCTCAAATCAANCCTCTTCCTCTTCCTCTTCCTCTTCCTCCTCCTCTTCCTCTTCCTCTTTCTCTTCACCTTCTGCTCTCTCTCAAATCAATACACTTATCCTCGGATGAGGATTTAAAAAAAAAAGAATAGAGCTACCATATGACCCAGCTATCCCTCTTCTGGGTACCTACCCAAAAAACTTGGAACATTTATTTGCAAAGATATATACACCCCTATGTNATACACATATCCTCGGATGAGGATTTAAAAAAAAAAGAATAGAGCTACCATATGACCCAGCTATCCCTCTTCTGGGTACCTACCCAAAAAACTTGGAACATTTATTTGCAAAGATATATACACCCCTATGTTCATTGTAGCATTATTCGTCATGGCCAAGATATGGAGACAACCAATGTGTCCTCTGATATAGAGGATTGGATAAAGAAGATGTGGTACATATGTACTATGGAATACTACTCATCCATAAGAAAAGATTAAGTACTGCCATTTGCAACATTATGAACAGCCTTGAGAGTATTATGCTAAGTTAAATAAGTCAGAAAAAGCTAAGAATCGTGATTTCACTCATATGTGGGATATAAAACTGAATCTCATAGACACAGACAACAGTATGGTGGTTACCAGAAGAAAGGGGTAGGGGGTGTAATAAAGGGTGTAAAGGGGACCAAGTAAATGGTGACAGAAGATGATTTGACTTTGGGTGGTGGGAAAAATTTAAAAAGAAAGAAAAAAATAAATGTTCAGTTACAAGTCCAGTTATATAGAAGTTTTATTCTGGGTCTGCACAGAAGCAAGTTTATCTGGATGCACAAAGCAGTACATTTGTTGTTTCCAGTGTAGTAAATTTTTTCTCTTTACATTTGAATGTGCATATAGTTTATTGCAGTAAATACTCCACTTTAAGACCATTAAATATTTTAAGAATTCTTGAAAGTGCTGTTCAGTATAGTACTTCCTACTTATAGCTATTGAACACTTAAAAGGTATCTAGTTGGATTTGTGATTTACTGAGTGTACTGGATTTCAAAGACTTAGTGTAAAAAATGTAAAATATCCCATTAATACTTTTTTATTGATCACATGTTTAAATGATATTTTAGGTATATTTGGTTAAATACAGTAAATACTAATTTCATCTGTTGCTTACTTTTTTGTTACTCCTAGAACGTTTAAAGATACATATTGGCTTTCGTTACATTTGCTGTACAGCACTGTCCTGAAGTATTTTCTCAGGATCTTAGATTCTTTAGAATGTACAGTAGTCCTCCCTTATCTGCAGTTTTAGTTATCTGTGGCCAGCTGCCATCCAAAATACCTGTGTCATTTACCTCACATCACTTCGTCATGTAGGCATTGTATCATCTTATGTCATCACAAGAAGAATGGTGAGCACAGTACCATAGGGTATTTTGAGAGAGAGACCATATTCATATAACTTTTATTATAGTATATTGTTATAATTGTACTGTTTTATGATTAGTTACTTTTGTTAATCTCTTATTGTGTCTGATCTAAAATATATATATATATCAATTTCAGAGAGAGGGAAGGGAGAGGGAGAGAGAGAGATAGAAACATCAATGATCAGAGTTGTCATTGATTGGCTGCCCCCCTGTACCCTGACTGGGGATGGAGCCTGCAACCTGGGCATGTGCCCTGACTAGGAATTGAACAGAGATCTCCTGGATCCTACGTCAATGCTCAACCACTGAACCATGCCCGCCTGGGCTGTGCCTGATTTATAAAATAAACTTTATTACAGGTATAGGGAAAATCATAATACGTAAGGTTTGAAACACCCACGGTTTCAGGCATCCACTAAGGGTCTTGGATTGTATTCCCCATGAATAAGAAGGGATGACTATAATGCCTGGACCACAGCTTCTCAGTTTACATTCCATCTTATGAACTTCCAGATAGGAAGTGCAGTTGGGTTTCACATTAGATTGGAACCAGAAATGTGATAGTATAAGGTGATCTTTGTGCCTTTATTTAAAATTTTGTTTTTCTTAAGTAAATTTACCTGTAATTCTGTTGTTTGTAATCAAAAGCGCCTTTACTAAGTTATATAAATGTCTTATTTTTCAAACAGGGTTGAGGACAAAGACAGTCTTGTATTCTTGCAAATGGCTTAATATGTTATAAATGTGGATTGGAGATTTGAGCTGAGGAAATGCCAAACATCACTACCATCTGCCTGTAGCAGTGATTTTCAGTTACTTAGAGAAGAGAGAGAACACTTACTGCTATGGTGATTTGCAGAAGTATCTTGGAAAAGGTAGAATTTCAGCTGTGACCCATAACAGTAATAAAATTACCTAGCATTGTTAACACTTGATTCTTTCAGAAGGCTTGAATTGGGGCCATCATACTTTCGTCATTGTAGTGAAGATGGATGAAGTTGTTCAACAGTCTGTTTCAAATAAAAGCAATACAAAGAGGACTGACTGGACCCTGAACTAAAGACAGAAACTAAAAAAAAACAACACAAAAAAACAGTTCATGAAGGTCTTCAGACTTGTGGTTTACCAGTATTGGTGGAGATAATTTTATCATAGAACAGAGTTTTATGTTTATATGAGGTTAAAGTTGTATCAATATCATTTAAAGGCTTTAACAGGAAGTTAAAGAAAATAAGGATTCAGGAGAAGGGGGTAGGGGAATAAGCAGTAAGTTATAGCTACAGGGCATGAGCCCTGTGTCAGGCTCCTATGAGGAGACAGAAGCCATACCAGTAATTTGTGCATGGAAATTTTTACTTTAAAAAATTGTTATTCAGGTCAAAGGCAGCTAACTAGTAACAGGAGTAAAAGAGAACTCTGAGATGTACAGAGGTAGGTACATCCCTTTATCACCCTTGTTTTGGATGAGCCTGATATCAAGTCCACTGATAAGCACATAGTCTGAAGAATCCAGTTCCAATAGAAAAAGCAGGGCAATGCAAGTGGATTTAAAGCTGAGAGGCAATAAATGAACTGGCACATACCTTAAAGCAGAAGGGGTTTTTACACAAATGTGGAGTAATGTTTTGGAAGTATCAATAGAAAGTTAGGACAGTGCTGAAGTCACTTTCTGTGCTTTGGTTATCAGGATATAGAGACATGACTAGGATTGTTCATGAGGAGATAGACTTCAGAGTGGATTGGAGATTTGTTTACAACATGATGGATTTGGTAGGATACTCATAGTATCCTCTCAGAAATGATAATGAGGGAGGGGAAGATAGTGGCACTGTGAGAAGCAGCAGAATGCCTTTGCTCCCAGCCACGGACTCGATTTACTCCTAAAATCCTACTAGCCAGCTTGGAAAAACCAGAGAAACATACCTGAGTGGACGGACTATGAGTGGGGAGCATAGAAAAAACATCATAGAGCCTGGTAAGAAAGGGGGGCATAGGAAGGGGGAGTCCCCCCTGAAGCCTGCGCTGGGCTCCAAGCCCAGAGGCTTGTAGGCTGCAAAGCTCCCTCCCCTCGGGAGTGCAGACCGGCCACCAAAAGCGGGGATCTCACACCCCGAGTGCAGGAGAAGGGAAGGAGTGCCCTGCGCGGAGGGCAGAGGGACCCAGGGAAGCGATGAGTCCCCGAAGAGGGGATGGTTCCTTCCTAGGAAACAAAGCCTCTAATGGCGGATGGCGCCTATCTAGCGAGACAAAGCTGCTAGTGGCGGTCGTGACCGGCGTCTAACACTCAGGGTGCCGACCATAGGGAGGGCTGTCCCAAAGCGTGTGGCACCCGAGTGGTAAGGGACCAGGGGACTGCGCTGAGCGGCCGCACACGGGGACCCTCTGCCTCCTTGTAAGGCACTGTGTTGAGCCCCAGAAAGCACTGAATCTGCGTGGTGTGAGGGAGGGGAGGAGCCCTCCCGCCCTGAGCTCCTGGTGCAGAGAGGCTGGGATCTGTGACCAGCCCTGAGGGTGCCCTCCTGCTCTGAGCTCCAGGTGCTGAGAGGCTGGGATCAGTGACCAGCCCTGAGGGGCACCGTGGTGGCCCGTGAAGCTGCCCCAGCTTTGCTGAGACTATCAATGCGGGGAGCTGCGGGGAACTGACTTTGGGTCCCCTCCCACTGGGTGCCTTGGCCTGTGGGTGGTGGGACCTTGCAGGGCAGACTCTCTGCCTGTATGTTGCTTCGTGCATTTGTGTGTTTGATCTCGGAACTGGCTCCCACCTTGCTGACTGCACTGGGCAGACAGACCAGCGGAGGTTGGGATTGGGGCCTGCAAAGTGTACTGTCTGAGGGGGGGGCCTGGTACGACCAGCCAGCCAGAGTTGAGCAGGGAGGGGTGGAGCCCGCCCCCAACAGGAAAGGGGCTGGGCCAGCTCACTGAGGCCCCAGAGACACCGGCAGGGCACAGTCCTGAGGGGGAAGGGAGAGCAGCTCACAGGACAACTGTACAAGAATAAGACTCTCAGGGACTGTTGTTTGGGAACTGGAAGAAACGCTGAAAACCCCTACTGGAGGCTGGGCAGGCAAAGGGCTCACCAGAATGTTTTTTTAACCTTTAAAAGACGGCATTTAAAAGACAGCATCATACAAACTCCATGTACTTTCCAGGATCAACTGTACAAATAATGGTTTCTTTCCTTTTGCCTGTAAAAAAGAACGTATATGCTTAGGTTTCTCAGTATTTAACCTTTAAAAGACGGCATTTAAATTCCATCAGCATTTAAATTCAGCCAGCGGGACCCACTCCTTGCTGGGAACTAAAGTTCCCTTTCATCGCATAAAGGTTAATCTAACCCACTGAGCCTAGCCTGCTGAAACAGCCCATACAGGAAAGGACACAGGCTGAAATCAGTCTGAAACTGCAGCAGGCCAGTGCATGGGGAACTAGAATCAGAGGACAGGGTAGGGACTGAGGAGCTGGCTGTGGAGCAGAGACTAACTCCCGCAGAGTGAGTGCCTGACAGTGAAACCTCTGTGAGTGGAGTGATACCCTGAGCTACACTAGCCATCCTGCACCCTAGAGACTCTACAGAGGACTCTGGAGTAAGACCAGGCAACTACAAGTTTGCAAGATAGCTGACAAGAGGAGGTGTTCTACAGAGAGCCTCAGATCAACCATCTACCTAAGGACACCAGAGACAAATCTAGAGGGCTCCTCACATTGGGTGATACACAAGTACCTCCTAGGAGAACTGAAATCAGCATACAAAACAGTGAGCCTCAGAAAACATAAATGGCCCAGAAGAAACATACCTGATTGACTCTCTTTTTTCTTCCCTTTTTTTGTTGTGTTTTGGTTTGGTTTTGGGTTTTGTGTGTGTGTGTGTGTGTGTGTTCTCTTTTTTCCATAGGAAGAAGAGAAAGGGGGGAAATTTTGTTTTTTCTTCCTTTTTAAATTTTATAATAATTTAAAACAATTTTTTTTCCTCTTTTTTATAAAAGAATTTTGTCTTACATAGCTTGTTTTTAGTTTTGTTTTATTTTGTTTATTTGCTTTGTTTTGGTTTATCCTTGTTTCTACTATTAAGACTTTTTTGCTATCCCTGCTTAATGACTGGGACTTTGTCATTATAACCAAGTTTACTGCTTTCCTCTATAGTTTCCACAAACTTTCAAACCGGACTCCCTCCCTACCTGGGCTATATCTCTCTCTCTCCTCTCGATCCATTGACATAACTTTTTTTTTCTTTTTCTTCTTTTTTTTGGTTCTTTTGTTATCCTCGATTTTGTCTTTTTGTTCGATTGTTAGTTTCTCTTATTCTCTTTATTGTATTTTTAATTTTCTCATTTTCAACTATTATCCTATTCCTATTCTCTCCCTTAATTTTTTGCTGGCCGTTCTTTCAGAATCTTTTCTCTGCTTCTGTTATCTCCCAGTAGCTTCTCTGTTTTTTACATTTTAGTTTATTATTTTCTAAATTTTCACCACTATTAACAACAATATGCATCTCTCTTTCTCTAAGCGTTACTTTTATCTCTTTTTTTAAGGTTTTTTTGTGTGTGTGTGTGTGTGTTCTCTCCTTTGACTCTCCCAGTTATATTTTCACATGGGTTGTTTTCATTGTTACTGTCAAGATATTTTGTAAGATACCTTGTTTCCTGGAAGTTTAGTTGTGTATTGTCCTGCCTTGCCAGCTTACACCCATACAACAGCTTACACGACAAGGTTGGGGCTGAGACATAGTTAGCCAACCTGAGAAGAGGGTCCTCCCAAGGATTGGTCAACGACAATCTAGACCCAGCCACAACAGGAGAACATAAAGACCACAAAAGGGACACCCACAAGAAGGACATGCTTAGAGCAAAGAGCTCTGGGCTCCACTGGATCCACAAGACAAAATCCCATCCCACAAGACTGAGAGACAGCAGATATATCTAATATATAGATACAAACACTAAGACCTACCAAAATGGGGAGACAAAGAAACAACCCCCAAATTAAAGAAAAGGAAACATCACCAGAAGAAGGGATGAGATGGAGTTAAGCAAGTTATCGGAAACGGAGTTCAGAGTATTGATGATGAAGATGTTCAAGGAACTTAAAGAGAAAAACAAGGCAATAGAGGATAAGATTGAGGACTTTAGGGAAAACATGAAAAAAGAGATACATAACATAAACAAAAATCAGACAGGAAATAAAGAATGCTGTATCTGATATCAAGAATACGCTGGAAGGAATTAAAAGCAGGCTCAGTGAAGCAGAGGATAGAATAAGTGACTTAGAAGACAAGGTAGAAAAAAATCACTCAATCATAGCAGCAAAAGGAAAAAACACTTAAAAAGCATGAGGAAAGGCTAAGGGAGCTTTGGGACAACATGAAGCACAACAACATTCGCATTATAGGAGTGCCAGAGGGGGAGGAAAGAGAGCAAGGGATAGAGAACTTGGTGGAGGAAATAATGATAGAAAACTTCCCTAGGCTGGCGAGGGAGAAAACCACACAAGTTCAGGAAGCACAGAGGGTTCGAAACAAGAGGGACCCAAAGAGATCCACTCCAGGACACATCATAGTTGAAATGGCAAATGTCAAGGACAAAGAGAAAATATTAAGGGCTGCAAGAGAGAGAGACAAGCAGTGAAGTACAAGGGAACCCCCATAAGGCTGACAGCTGATTTCTCAACAGAGGCTCTTCAGGCCAGAAGGGAGTGGCATGAAGTTCTCCAAGTAATGAAAAGCAAGAACATGCAACCAAGATTGTGTTGTCTAGCAAGGCTATCATTTAAAATTGAAGGTGAAATAGCTAGCTTCCCAGACAAAAAAAAAGGCTATAGGAGTTCAGTACCACCAAACCACCATTGCAAGAAATGCTAAAAGGACTGCTTTAAGAAAAAG